GGCTTATTTCGTCACCTTATTTGACTTGGACTTGGGCTATGTCGTTTAGGTCTTTTCCTACACATATAAATAGGCATTAAACACCACTTTTGAAAGTTTTGTGCGATCGGAGACAAGAATAGCTCGTGGAACACCGTTGGGGGGAAAGAATCATCGATTTCTACATTCCTTCATCTTTACTTTGTACTTTATTTATGCAAAATACTTTGGATATTGTTACTATGAGTATGCATAGCTAAACTTCTAATCTAGGGTTTTGATGAAACCTATTGGAGGATGATTTTCCTGTTACGTTTAGTATAGATTTGCCGTAGCGTTTTCTCTATTTGTTCAACTACGTTTATGTTGTGGTTGATTGAAGAGCTCTCAATCAACTGTGCCTATTTAGTGTGTATTACTCGGAAGAGAGTGCATATTTAGGTAGTTGTTGAACAACATCACTCCTAACGTATGTGAGGGATCAATACTGAGGGTTTAAAGGCGGGATTAGGAATAACAAAACCTTGGTGCGATCCGAGCGAGCCGTAACTTAGTGCCAGCTAGCGTAGTTCGGAAAAATATGTCTAGTAAATTGTGGTAGTTACGCGGGAGAGAATTACGACACTCAGAGAGCTCATGATCGGTAGAGAAAATTTAGGCAAATTTATAGGAAACATAGCGGAAAGGATTCCGACAATAGGGGAAATCAGAACCTTAGACCATTCCAAATCTTGTCTACAACCTGTTCGTAGTTAGTTATTAATTACTGCATTTTCATTACTTGATCTTTAGTTATTAAACATCCAATTTGTTATTTTTTTTTTTGATGATTGATTACGTGAATTTATGCGAATCTAGTAGCTGTGCTTAGTAGGTTAAATCCCCGTGGGATTCGACTCCGGACTTGTTAACCGAATTATATTTGCAATGACCGCTTAGTCCTTTTCATAAGGCATAGTTGGACGTGATCAAATTTTAGTGCCGTTTCCGAGGAATTAACGGTGTTATTAATTGCAGCTAAAAGAAGTGCTAGAATTCTTAGTGTAGTCAAGTTTCTTCATTTTAAACTAAATACATTGAAATTCTAACGTTTGTAGTCTTGGGTGTTATAGGTGCATGCCTAGAAAATCCTCAAGAACTGGTAAATTGTTTGATTATCAGATCCTGAGAAAGTTTTCAAGGCACTGAATCATGCAAACAAGAAGGACAAACAACAACAGAACTCAACAGAACGAATCGAACCAGACATGGATGACGTAATAGAAAATCCAAACAACAGAAATAATGCGAATGACCCAAACAATCAGGGTGTGGCGCCTCTTATGCCAGAAGCAGCCTTGTATGATTGGGCACAACCCACCACCGAAAATCTGGCAACCGCAATTGCTGTCCCTCAGATACAAGCGGAATCATTTCAAATCACAAACAACATGCTACATTTGTTGCGGAACAAGGGATTGTTCTTAGGGTCTTATATTGAAGATCCTCAGCAATATCTGAAAAATTTCCTGTTGATATGTGTCACGCAAAGGCAACCTAATGTGACACCGGAAGCAATAAAGCTATTATTGTTTCCATTCTTGGTGATGGGAGAAGCTCAGACTTGGCTAAATTCACTCCCCATAAACTCCATCACTACTTGGGAGGAATTAGTCAAGCAATTTTTGAACAAGTTCTACCCACCCAATAAGACTGCCAAACAAGTTGATGAGATATTGAGCTTCAGGCAGAGACCAACAGAAACACTACAAGAAATGTGGGAGAGGTTCAAGGGTATGCTGGTTATGTGTCCACATCATGGCTTTCCAAATCAGATGTTGGGGTAGAGATTCTACATGGGATTGACAGACAACTTAAAGACCAATGTTGATGCTTTAGCAGGTGGAGCATTTTTGAGCAAATCATTTAGAGAATGCAAGATCCTACATGATAAAATGGCTCAAAACTCAAGATGGATGACAAGAGACTCTACGATCACTCCTGTCGTTCACTCAGTGGCTTTGGACCCAAACAACTCCATCCGAAAATATGGCCACTCTGATGACGCAAATAAGTATCCTCACCAAAAGGATCAATGAATCAGGCCAAAAGCAGCATGTACACATAGTTGACGCGACTAATGGGGGCTTATGTACATCGTGCATTAACCAACCATATGGATGCTCGTGGAGTGCGAAAAGTGACAACCAGAGCTATCAGGAAAATATGAACTATGTGGCCAACTATGGAGGACAGAGTCAAGGTGGCCAGAATTGGGGGCAATAGAATCAACAATATAGACCAGCACAACAACAGTTCAATAATAGCAGCAATCCTAGAGCTATGCGACCACATGTTCAAGTTGTGCCTTACCAAAGGCAACATGGATATAATCAGCAAAATCAGCAGCCAGCTTATCATCAGCCTCAACAATAACATATAGTGCGACAATATGATGGGTTGTTTGAAATTAAAGGAATGCTGCAACAACTCATTGCGGCCAGCGGGAAAATGGAAGAAAAGGTCCACCAGATGCAAGAAAAGGCGCACCAGATGCATGAAAATGTAGTATCGCATGACTCATCTATCAAAGGCATTGTGATTCAACTAGGGCAGATATCGATGGATCTGAATAATCGCCCTAAGGGACGTTACCTGGGGACACCCATGTCAATCCAAAAGAGCAGGGCCCGAAGCATCTTATGACAGCGAGTCTAAGAAATTGTAGAGACCTAGATCTAGAGTAAGAAATTGCTCGCGAAAGCCGATCAACTGAAACACTTGTGCCAGTATCCATTGAGGTAGATGATTCAACAGGGTTAACTGAGGTAACGATACAACATGAACAAGAAAGCACAAACAAGGAAAAAAAGGTTGCGAATGAGACTGAGGTAGTGCAAGAAACGACAGTAGAAGCAGTGCCCGAGCAGGATAAAACTCAAATCACAGGAAGGAAGAGACCTCCAACACCATTACCACAGAGATTGGCCAAATATTAGAAGGATGAGAAGTATAAGAAATTCGTGGAGATGTTGAAACAAATCCAGGTGAACATTCCACTGATTGACGCCTTGAGGGAGATGCTTGTGTATGCCAAAATGACGAAGGATTTGATGTCTCGCAAGTTCGACTTCCAAGACTTAGCCACTGTTACACTAACCTAGACCTGTAGTGCTATTGTGATGAGACCCATAGTTGAGAAGTTGTCAGAACCAGGGAGTTTCACAATCCCATGCAAAATAGGCAGTTATGCTTTTGCTAAAGCATTGTGTGATTTAGGGGCAAGCATAAACTTGATGCCCTTGGCTATCTAAAAAAGGTTAGGCATTGAAAGTGCAAGACCCACATCCATGTTATTACAGCTAGCCGACCAGACAGTGAAGAGGCCATCAGGTATCCTTGATGATGTACTAGTGCAGGTTGGAAAGTTTGTATTTCTAGCAGATTTTGTCATTCTGGACTGCCGGGTTGACGAGGAGATTCCCATAATTTTGGGAATACCATTCTTGGCCACTGGGAGAGCTCTAATCGATTGTGATACTGGAGAGCTAAAAATGAGACTGAACGATGAAGAGATAACGTTCAATGTGCAAAAGTCTATGCGGCGACCAAGTGAATTTGCTAACTGCTATCTGATAGAAGCTGTGGATGTAATTTTGGAGGAGGAAGATGAGACTCTGAATGCTAAAGACCCTCTACCAGCCTGTCTCATGAACTTAGAAGAAGTAAATGGAGAGGACTTGACGGAGTGGGTGCTGGCTCTTGAAGGCCAAGGGTTTTGGAAAAGAGAGCTCGAATTTGAGTCTTTGCACTTAGAAGAAATAAAGACTCCTCCTGCTAAGCCATCGATCGAAGAGCCACCACAGTTGGAACTGAAATCGCTACCACCTCACCTCAGGTATGCTTTCTTAGGATCTAACTCAACTTTACCTGTTATTATCTCATCTGGTTTGTTAGATGTGCAGACAGAACAACTTTTGCAGGTATTAATAGAGTGCAAAACTGCAATTGGTTGGACCATTGCAGACATTAAGGGTATCATCCCGGCCTTCTGTATGCATATAATTTTACTGGAAGATGGCCACAACCTTCCAGATAACATCAAAGAAGGCTGAACCCCAACATGAAAGAAGTTTTGATAAAGGAGGTGATAAAGTGGTTAGATGCGGGAATCATTTTCCCCATCTCCGACAGCAACTAGATTAGCCCAGTTCAATGTGTACCAAAGAAAGGTGGAATGACTGTTGTACAAAATGAGAAGAACGAGCTGATCTCAACAAGAACAGTCACGGGATGGCGAATTTGTATGAACTACAGAAGATTGAACAAAGTCACCCGAAAAGACCATTTTTCCCTGCCGTTCATTGATCAGATATTAGATAGATTGGCTGGGAGGTCCCACTTCTTCTTTCTGGATTGATACTTGGGGTATAATAAGATCTCTATTTCCCCGGAAGATAGAGAGAAAACATCATTCACCTGTCCATATGGCCTCTACGCTTTTCGGAGAATGCCATTCGGACTATGTAATGCACCCGCCACATTTCAAAGGTGCATGATGGCCATCTTCACAGATATGGTAGAAGACATAATGAAGGTCTTCATGGATGATTTCTCAGTGGTGGGAGACTCATTCGATGATTTCCTAAAGAATCTAAAAAGATTGCTGAAAAGATGTGTGGAGACTAATCTGGTGCTCAACTGGGAAAAATGTCATTTCATGGTACAAGAAGGTGTAGTCTTGGGGAACCTAGTGTCAAGTAAAGGCATTGAGGTTGATCGTGCAAAGGTTGATGTGATAGAAAAGTTACCACCACCCACTTCCATCAAAGCAATAAGAAGTTTCCTTGGCCACGCCGGTTTCTACAGACGGTTTATAAAAGATTTCTCAAAAATTGCTAACCCCTTGTGTAAACTGCTTGAAAAAGATCAACTTTTTTGTGTTTTCTAATGACTGCAGGGTAGCATTTGAGTAGTTGAAGAAGAAACCGGTGACTGCACCAATCATAGTGGCCCCCGACTAGGGGCAACCTTTCGAGCTTATGTGCGATGCAAGTGACTATGCTGTGGGAGCAGTTCTTGGGCAACAAAAAGATAAAGTCATGCATCCGATATACTACACAAGTAGAACCTTGGGCGGCGCCCAACTGAATTACACAGTGATAGAGAAGGAGATGCTAGCTGCGGTGTTCTCATTTGATAAATTCAGGTCATACCTGATAGGCTCAAAGGTAATTGTTTACACTGACCATGCTGCCCTCAGGTACCTAATTGAGAAAAATGAGTCAAAGCCGTGCCTAATTCGATGGGTGCTACTGCTACAAGAGTTCAACTTGGAAATCCGGGACCGAAAGGGAACAAAAAACCAAGTTGCTGATCATTTGTCCAGGTTTGAAGGAGCGGAAAAGAAGGTTGAGGTGGAGGAGATCATGAAGACTTTTTCCCAGATAAACAACTTTTAGCAACGAGCCTCGAGGCTACACCATGGTATGCAAATATTGTAAATTACCTGGCAAGCGGTATTGTTCCTTATGACTTATCTTCTGTGCAAAAGAAAAAGTTTTTTCGTGATTGTCGCATGTATTTCTGGGATAAACCATATTTGTTTAGGATTTGTCTTGATAACATGATCCGGAGATGCATTCCTGAGATAGATCAATCTTCTGTTTTGCAAGCATGTCATGCTTCACAGTATGGAGGACATTTTGGAGGTGTAAGGACAACTGCTAAATTGTTGGAGTCAGGTTTTTATTGGCTGACGCTGTTTAAAGATGCACACTTCTGGGTGAAAAGTTGTGATGAGTGCCAACAGACGGGGAATATTTCCCGTCGACATGGGATGACCATGAACCCAATTCAAGAGGTGAAAGTATTCGATGTATGGGGAATCGACTTTATGGGACCATTTGTCATCTCATATAATAATAAGTACATACTTGTAGTGGTGGATTATGTCTCAAAATGGGTAGAAGCCGTGGCACTTCCAACAAATGATGCGAAGGCAGTTATTGGTTTCCTGAGAAAAAACATCTTCGCCCGATTTGGTACTCCAAGAGCTATTATCAGTGATGGGGGCACCCACTTCTACAGCCGATCCTTTGCAAAGTTGTTGGAGAAATATGGCGTTCGCCATAAAGTTGCTACTGCGTATCACCCACAAATAAGTGGGAAATTTGAGGTGTCAAACAGATAAATCAAGAGTGTTTTGACCAAAACTATAAATGCTACTCGGACTGATTGGGCGAGAAAATTGGATGATGCGCTATGGGCTTACTGCACTTCATTCAAAACTCCTATTGGTATGTCACCGTATAAGTTGGTGTTTGGAAAGGCATGTCACTTGCCGGTGGAGTTAGAGCATAAAGCCTTCTGGGCGTTATGACAATTAAATCTGGAATTGGAGGCCGCTAGAACTAGTAGAGTCACAGAGCTTCATGAACTTGACGAGTTCCATTACCATGCTTTTGAGAGTACAAGGTTATATAAGGAAAGAATGAAACTGGTGCACGACAATAACATTTTTGAGCGAAATATTAAGCCGGGAGACGTGATATTATTATTCAATTCGAGATTGAGGTTGTTTCCGGGCAAATTAAAGTCAAGATGGTCAGGACCATTTCGTGTGCTAGAGATTCACCCCACCGAATCCGTAGAGATTGCTTCAGAAGATGGCTCTCGCAAGTTCAGAGTCAATGGTCACAGGTTGAAATATTATTTGGGCATGGATGAGACGAAAGTAGTATCAGTGGCTCTTGAGCGAGCTTTAAGTCGATTGCATGCGTCGTGCCGCGATGTTAAATCAGGTGCTTCATGGGAGGCAACCCATTATAATGTTGTATTCGTCATGCCGTGACGTTAACTAAGGTGCTCGTTGGGAGGCAACCCAATTCGTAGTTGATTTTTAGCGTAGTTAGAATTTTTTCTTCTCGTTTGTAGGAACTATCATGTTTGTAGGCAATTTCGGCGGGTCGTGCACTGAACCTCGCATCGCCTGGTCCCCAACGAGATGGGCCAGGCGGAAAGCCTCGCGTCGCTAGATCGAATTCTCACGTGGGAGCTCGCCTCACATGGGTTACAACGAGATGCATCTCGCGTGGAGTCTCGCGCCTCGCGCCCCAGAGCTCGCGTTGGAGCTCACCTCGCGAGGGGTAAAGAGAGGCAGTAACCTCACGTCACCAGGTAAGTGATTTTTCGGTTTATTTTAATTTCTTTTCCTTTGTTTCTTTTAACCCCCTCCCTTAAAACCTAACCTAAACGTCCAAAACCTTACTGCTCACAAAAGCTTACACACTCATGCCAAGAACACATTGCCAACCCCCCTCCCTCACAAACCCATTGAAGACAAGCACTCCTTTTCTCTTTCCTTCACCTGCAACATCAATTCAAGGGCAATCCCTCCTCTTAAACATCTAAGGTATGATTTCTACCTCCATTCTTTGGCAATTTCGAATTGGGTGAGTGCATGTGATTGGATACAAATTTTGGGGTTGTTCTTCATTGTCACAATGTGTTTGTGTGTCCCAACTTCATGAACCCCATAGGAATGGTGTTGTTATTGTGTGAACAAGTGGTAGCACGGAACTACTAGCCAATTTGGGAGGGTGAGGAAATCCCTCATTCCTACAAGCACTCCCATGGCACTAGTGCATGCTAAGTATTTGTCATAATGCCTCAAAGGCATTCTTTGTCCCCATTGGAGCCCGAGTCTCCGGGATTGTAAGACTAGTGCTATGTAGCCGTGCACCACTTTAAATTTTAAGTGTGGGGTGGCTCACTGGTAGCCTGATGCTTCGAAATTGGAGAAAGCACCCATGTGTCATTGCTTGATTCTCATACTAAGAAAAGATGAGGTGAAGTCAGAGTAACCTCGAAAATTGTTGAAAATCATGTGTTGAACTCTTAAGTTCATGCTTTTAATTTTGCATTGCATCCTAAACTGATTAACGCTCACTTGTGTAGATACAAACATGCCTCCAAGGAAGGACACCGGTAAAGGCAAGGCCACATCCACTGCTCCGTCTAAGGCTAAGGCTTCCTCCGCACCTCTACCAAAGAAGAGAAAAGGGGTGAAGCCACTTCAAGTCAAGTTGAAGGACTGCAAGCAGTGGTATCTATAATAGTCACTCGCCCATAATCTCAAGGACAGAAGGAGTTTGGACTCAAGAGCATACCTCCACATGTTAAGGACTGGTACAAACGTTGTAGACCGAGACATATACATCCGGAATCTGCTATTCATCAGCGTCGCCTACAAGCCAAGTGCCAAGAAATTTGGAGAGGTATTAATGATTTGGGGATGAGTTATGTGTTCCAAAATATCGGGGATATAAATATAAATCTGATTCGAGAATTTTATGCCGGTTTTGATCCAAAGCATCCTGAACAAGTGGTGCCCATTCTGGGAAGGTTGATAGATTTTTCAGCCTCGGCAATATGCAATTTCTTAGGGACGCCGGATGTTCCCCAGGAATCCTTGGACAACTTCATCGACCATCCTACATATCGAGAACTGAGACACACTCTTTGTGGTGTCAATTCTGTGGCGGCTTGGGTTCGGGATAAGAAAACCAATCGCCATAGGAAATTCCCTAAGAAAAAAATGAAGGCAGAAGCTCAAGAGTGGTTGAAATTGATTAATACACGACTTCTACTTTGCAACCATGACACTCTTATTAGTCGTGAAAGGACGTGCATGTTATATCTCCTCATGACTGGCCAGAGGGTGAATGCGGGCCACATGATCCGCTACCAGATGACTCAAGTGAGAACTAGGAAGAGAATTGATCAAATACCCTTTGCAAACATGTTGACTCAGTACTTGAGACAATAAGAGGTGGGGGAGGAGAAAGCTTTCGATCACATCATTGATCAGCGCCTACGACTAATGGACATTACAAGCATCCGAGTTAAAGAGGAGAATTCTATGCCATCAGTGATAGGTGCCGAGCGCAATGCTCACGATGACAGCTTTATGGCCCATTTATATGGGATGATGGACTTGCAACTTCAGATTGGGGGACGGCCGACCACTACAGAGAAGAGGGCCATATTGGAGGAGCATTTCCAGCTCAATACTCATGCTCAGCAGCTGGTTGGGCTTGGTGATGGCTACAGAATCCTAGAGGATGAGGATGTCAACACACCTGAGCAGTCCGAGGCCGAGCCAGAGCAGTCAGATGATGATGCTGATGCTGATGAGGAGGAAGCAGAAGATGAGGCATGGGCAACCTTCGAGGAGGAAGGCGATGACGCAGCTTGATCATGGAGTTTTCATACACCCTACTCATTTTGTTTTCTTGTTTTGTTAGTTTGTGTATGCATTGAGGACATTGCATGAAATAAGTGTGGGGTGGTAACTTGTAAATATTAGTCTTGTTTTAGTTATTTTTTAGTTAGTGTCGTCTTAGCCTTTTTTTTGTTTTAAACAAAAAGAGGAGAAAACAATTGGACTCTTCCTGAAGACGAATCTCCTAGACAATTTTCTTGAGTGAATTAAGTCTAAAGAAAAAAACCAAAAATATTTTCTTGTAGGTAGTGTAGTAATTCCCCCTTGGTTTTTTTTTTGTGCCGCGGTTCTTTTCCAAGGGTTTTAGTTGAACCAGGTGTAGTTAGTTTTAATTTTTAGGAGTAGAAACCACAGTGCTATGAATTGAATTTCAGCGATATCTCTTGACTTTGTTATGCCTTGAGAATAGTGAGTACTCTGGTTGTGATGCTTAGGCTCAGTGTTTGACTCTAGTATAAGTACCTTAAATCGTAGATTCTTAAATTTGCTTAACTGCTTTGACTAGAGTGTCGTGATAAAACCAATCCTGAGCGAGTTATGTGCCATGTCTGTGTGAGGTTTGTATGTATTATGTGCATGGCAGTTGATGTCTAGAACTTGCCCCGTGAGTGTGCAAAATAAAATAGTAGTCTTGTTTAGTCTGGAAAGTGATATAGACATTTTTTTGTTGAGCCAGATATATATAGTTTACCCGCCTAAATGTCATATAACGTAGTTAACTCCTTTGAGCCGATAATCCTATTTCTTTGGTAACCACATTACAAGCCTTACCCTTTGTTTGAATTGACCATATATTTGAACCTTGTTACCTCTCATGAGCACTTGAATTGTGATGAATTATATAAAAGTTAAAGTGGGGTGGTGTTTGTGTTTTGAGTTGAACAAATGAAATAAGGAGAAAGGTGCACCATTTTGAAAAGAAAGAAGAAAAAAATATTTCAATAAAAGCCATTTGAAAAAAATAAAAAAATAAAAAAATACATATAGTTGTATAGAAAAAAATAATAATTCTTGATGGTGGTGGCTAGTGATGTAATTGTGCTTAAAGAAGTATGGGATAATATACATTGATGTGAATGTGAAATTTTGGTTTGACATAAGTATGGGCTTGAGTGTTGAAGTATATGTATTAAAGTGCTTAAGGAAGGTGTAGCCACTCATATCTAAATGTATCCTACCTTATCCGCAGCCTACATTACAATCAAATAAAGCCCTACTTGATTCTAGACTGAATGAGCTCTATTAGTAGAGTATTACACTACGGGCAAGCCTATAGTACATCATTTGTGGCATATGAATGTTATTTCTCAGAGAGAGTGAATTCTTTCTATCTGAGTTCCTACAGTCTTAAAATTTATTGTGTGTGGAACTAATCTCTCTTATTGTGTGAGGGCACATGATTCATGATGGAAAAGTAATGTCATTGACCTCCATGTTAGAGTAAGTAAGTGAATTGTGAATAATGCATGGTATTTGTGAGTCAAATCTTGAGGTGAGGATGTTACACCTTTGTGCTTAGTATATTTTAAAGATTCTTGGTATGACCAGTTAAGGGAATTGCTTAAAAAGATCGTGTCTATAAGTGTAGTTTAATTGCTCGAGGACGAGCAACGTTTAAGTGTGGGGTATTGATGTTTGGCTAGAATTCCATATTTTAGTACATTATTTACCTTATATTTTAGGTGATTTAATGCTAAACTATACTTTATTTGCGCGTAATGGAGTCTATTTTATGTGTAGGTACATTAGAGATGAAATTAGAGCAAAAGAAATATTTAACGTATAAAGCGTGCTCGAAAATAGTATGAAAGAAGAAAGAAAGAATTGAGCAACAGAAAAATGAAGCAACATGTAAAGCACGCCCAGAAGCTCGCGTTAGAGCTGGCGAGGCGAGCCTCTGAGCTCGC